TAACTTAGATAGATACCACCGTCATACTGGTCTGAAGACTCTAACTTTATCTCCCAGTTGTTCAATCTGTGCTGTACCTCTGATGATCTCATTCCTGATCTTCTCCATCCTTGTCTCTCCTAAGGAGAACCTCAACATCTTCTTTTCTGCTACTTCCAGTTCTGTCTCCTGTCTTTTTGTCCATGTATCTGTCTCCAGACCATACAACATAGCTGGTCTCACCACTGTCTTGTAAACTTTCATTTGCTGACACCTTTTGTCTCAAATCACTCCTGAAACTTTTCTCCATCACTCCATCTTGCCTGGTCTCTCTTCTTCACCTCGTCACCACACTCCCCATGTTCCTGGACAGTGGACCCCAAGTCCTTGAAGTCCTGCACCTTTGTGACCTCTGCTCCTTGTAGCCTCACTGTTCCACCTCCTCCCTCTCATTCACACACACGTCACCAAAAAGAGGCTAAAATCGCAGCTGTTTGCTCGTCCATCCAGCCGTGCACGTTGTGAGCACGATAACATGATAAATAAGCAACATGACCACTTCCATTTTGTTTTGTGGCTGATTGGGAACTCTAAATTGTCCCTAGGTGTTAGAGAGAGTGAGAGAGAATGGTTATTTGTCTCATTTGTCTCTATGTGTCCCTGGGGAGGACTGGAGACCTGTCCAGGTTGTCCCTCACTTTTCATCCAGTGACTGCTGGACATGGTCACCAGTAACCCGAAAAGTAAAAAGCGGGTTAAAGATGATGGATGGATGGATGGATGGATGGATGGATGGATGGATGGATGGATGGATGGATGGATGGATACCTGGATGGATGGATGGATGGATGGATGGATGGATGGATGGATGGATTGCATCTATGTGTAAGAATGATCACTTTCAAAAACTGGATGCCACTCTCCCCCCCCCCTCCCCGTCGTGTCCGTCATGTGACACTTAGAATTATTGTGTGAGTGTCAGATTTACTTTCACAAGCAGAGCATGATGGCTGGCCTTAATGCTCCACTTGATATATAAATTAAATTTTATTAGAATATGGTTTGGGTTTGTTTCAGATGTAATGGACACGGGGACGGAAAACAAAGAAGATGACAAAGCAGAAAAGTGAGAGAAGAGTTAAAATGTAAAGAAGGAGAGAGGAATAGAGGAGAGAGAGAGGGATAAAAAGAACGAGTGGATGCCACTTCTAAAATCAAGATGGCCGACTACCTCTATCCTTTGTGGAAAATGTGCTTTCTAGGTTTTGGCTCGCTTAAAATTTCCTCTACAAATGACGGTGGCTCTTGGGAGGGGTGAAGATTTATCTATGAGCAACCTCCTGGCTTCACCTTTGCCCCTGATCATGTATGGTGGCGGCCATCTTGGATTTTGATGCGGAAACCTACGAAAGTAACTTTTTGTATGTCTAGATGTAGCCGCACTGCAACAAGGATGTTGGTACCTCACATATTCTTCAAGTTGTACTAAAACAGGCACGGACGGACGGACAGGCACATGAAGAGTAATTCCGCCTGTTCGCTCCGTGATGGGAGACAGTTAAACTGAGTTGGATGGATCGATAATGAATGCTTTTGAATCCGTGCTGTCTCTTCTGGCCTGGCTCGTCTCCGCACCGTTCACAGACGGGCAGGAGGCCGCAGGGTTCTTATCGGCTGCAGGTCCACTGCACCAGCAACAAACATGCATCCAACCCTCAGTCATGTGCATGTTAGCCACTGATAACAGCCAAGTGTGAATCAATTCAAGTGTCACAGTGAGTTTGTCAGGAAGGACCTTCTGATGCTACATGTTTGTTAGGATTACAGTACATGGCTTCTTCCCTCAAGAACCTGAGCAGTTCTTGGAGAACCGGTTCTGTCAGTGTTCTGAATGACATTTACGTGCCCTGTCGCCGCGTTAACAGAACGTTCCCACAGATGATATGTGGGGAGGCTGCTGCCTCAGGACGATTCACACACGGTTACTGTGTACGTGCACGGTGTTTTTGTGCTCCCTGCGAAAGCGTTCCAGGCTGCAGGATAACATTTTTATTAGAAACAGGTGCACATCTGTTCTGATCCGTGCTCAACACCACGCCCGTTAGAGTCAAAACAGGTAGATGTTGTTTCAACAGCTGCCCAGAGAAGAAACTCTTTAAATATAATACAAGACGTGCACAGCATGAACCCTTCACTGGTTTCTCTGATGTCAGGACAGACACAAACTGGTTTTAAAGTCAGTGCAATGACCAACCACATCAAGCAATAACACTCAGGTGTGCATTGATCTACTCTGAAAACTACATGTTGTTTCTAGAACAACTTCCTAAACTGAGGTTTGAAGTCTGTGCTGCTGTTTGTCTACAGAAGAAACCAGAGTCTGAGTCCAGGACCTTGGTTTGTTGCACCTGTTGTGTATTTTGTACTTCACTTAAATGTTCACTGTCCAGTCTGCAGGTATTTTGAAAACTGGAGATTCTTAAAACCACGTCTCTCAAGACATTGTGCGGGAGGTAATGCAGGAGCACAAAGGGTTTTCAGGTTTTCCTCCAGGTTCCTGAGCTCCAGGGTAGTGCCCATGAGCAGCAACATCTGGAGGATAAAGGTCTTTAGATGAGCTCCATTCCCTGCTGGAACAAGCACTTGTGATTTCGACACGTGTTGAATCTGAACTAAGATGAGAACTTCAACTTGAACCGTTGTGTCTTCACAGGTTGCTCCTGGTTGCTCTGAGGGAACTTTCCGGTTCTTTCACGAAGAATCCCACCAAACACAGAGGAGGTTTCACAAGAGCATCAAGAGCATGTGACATCTGAAGACTCTGAAACATGCAACACAACCAGATGACTGAGGCCAACCTGTTCCACTGACACACACACACGCACGCACGCACGCACGCATACACACACACATATCTGACTTGTAAACATGTAACTGTCGGTAAAATTAAAAAATAATTAATCAGTTAATTGGGGTCAGGAGGTGACGTCAGACATATTTTTAATAAATAGTTTTGTGTTTGGGGGGGGGGGGGGGGGGCTCCTGGGTCTGAGGTAAGGCTCGCGCACACCGTGCCAGTCCCAATTAAAGCCCACTACATTTCACCCAACAAAGAGCTCCTTCTCCTCCTTCTCCTCCTCTAACTCCAGCTCCTGCAGCTCTGTCCTTCAGGAGGAGACCCGCTCCCTGTGGGGGACCCAAAGAACCGCCGGAGGTCCCCCCCCCTCCCTCCCCCCCCTTGGTTGAGGCTGGTTTTCCATTAGAGCTGAGGACAGGGGTTGAACTGAACCTGAGCCTCTGTCAGTTTTTTTTTTTGCCCCACGCCTCCTCTCTGCTTCCTCCTGCCGGGTACTCCGTGAGCAGCAGAGTCCTCCTCCAGAGCTGCGGACACAATGACAGGAGAGCTGAAGGACGGAGCTGAGGAGGTACGGTACCGTACGGTCCGGATCCACTCTAAACAGAACTTTCACAACTTTAACTTTGTGTGTGGCGGAGAGGACGCGGAGCTGAAGGAGCAGGAGTTCTTTCACTGCTGCTCTTTTCATTTCAGTCACTTTTCATCTGCTGCTCATAAATGAGCTCAAACATTTAAGGACAGATGAACGCACGCGCGCACTGTAAACACGGAACTCCAAGCTGTGTGTGTGTTCTTCTGACACACCTGGTGAGGACTCTGTCGGTTTATGGTTCAGCTCACTGATAATAATACTTTTAATGAATGCGCACTTTGACGCATTCCTGACAGTTTCCAGGTGGACCCCAGCCCTGGGGGGTGTGGGGGGTGTGGGGTGTGGGTTGGGGGGGGGGGGGGGGGGGGGGGTGGGGGGGGGGGGGGGGGGGGGGGGGGGGGGGGTTGGAGTTTCGGTGGGTGGTGAGGACCCCTCGCGGCTGAACGCAGGGTGTGGTGCTCCAGCTTCCATCCTGCTCCGTGGAGCAGGCTGGTTCAGTTGTTCGCGCGTGGCGCACCGTTCCTCCTGCTCCTCCTCACCTCCTGCTCTCTGTCTCCTCCTGCTCCTCCTCACCTCCCTCTCTCTGTCTCTCTCCACCTCTCCGTGGTCCTCGCAGGACTTTCCGCATTCGCCTTTCATCCGGAAGCAGGGCAACATCTACAAACCCAACAACCAGAACATGGACAACGAGAGTGTGAACGAGAAGGCGATGGAGGACGTGCACACCAAAGAGATCGACCTGGTCAACCGGGACCCGAAGCGCATCAACGATGACGTTGTCAAGGTAAGAAGAGTCCACCTGGCCGCACCGGAAGTGCTTTTGTCGCGACACTTTTATTTATTGATGCATTAAAACAGGAAGACCTGAGAGTTTTCAGAGTGCCCCCCCCCCCCCCCCCCCCCCCGTTTTTGGCCCTTCTGGACTTTTGGTCCGGGGGGTGGGGGGGGGGGGGGGGGTCGGTCCTCATCTTGGCTCATCTCTATTTTCCGAGCGCGCAGAGTCTGGAACGGGACAAGGGGAAACATGACGAACTTCCTGCTGTTGGGAACACGCTCCACGCTGCGCGCGCGGTTCTGTTGGGAACGCGCTCCACTCTGCGCGCGGTTCTGTTGGGAACGCGCTCCACTCTGCGCGTGCGGTTCTGTGGGAACGCGCTCCACTCTGCGCGCGCGGTTCTGTTAGGAACGCGCTCCACTCTGCGCGCGCGGTTCTGTTGGGAATGCGCTCCACTCTGCGCGTGCGGTTCTGTTGGGAACACGCGATGCATGGAGGAGCCGTGGGAGTTTATTTTGTTGTGAGGAGGAGAGGGAGGCACCTGACGCGCCTCAGGCTGGAGGGGAGCAGCAGCAGCTGTGACCCCACCCACCTCTGCGCCTTTCTCTCCAGATGGAGGTGGTGGGTGGGGGGGGCAGCTCCCTGCATGTGGGGCAGGAGGGGTCAGAACTGCTTGAACCGAACTGCGCCTTGATAAAACAGGGAAACACCCGAGCTGCTCATGAGGGGACCCCCCCTCCCCCCTCCCCCCTCCCTGCCTCCCCCTCACTGCAGACCAGCACCTGAGCCAGGAGCTCCTCTGTAGGTTAGATACTGTTTGTTCACCTCAGATGAACTCTGATGTGAACCTGAAGCTGGACTTTTGATCTGTTGGTGGAAGACGTGGGCACGGTGGTGCAGTGGGTGGAGTTGTCACCTCTCAATGAAAAGGTCACAGGATTAAATCCCGGCCAGGGGGCCTTTCTGGATGGAGTCTGCATGTTCCCTCCGTGGGTTTTCTCCAGGTACTCCAGTTTCCTCCCACAGACCAAAAACATGTCAGACTGACTGGTAACTCTAAATTGTCCCGAGGTGAGAGAGTGAATGGTTATTTGTCTCTCTGTGTCCCTGTGATGGACTGGAGACATGTCCAGGGTGTCCCCCACCCCTCGCTCAGTGTCTGCTGGACATGGGCACCAATGACCTGAAAAGGAAGAAGTTGGTTAAGATAATGGTTGAGGATGTGTTGCCTTCCATCCAGGGAGCTTTTTCATGTTAACGCAGGCAAGTATACACACACACACACACACACACACACACATATATATATATATGTGTGTGTGTGTGTGTGTATACTGTATATTCTGGAACATCCACAAAGTTATAATTCCCGTCATGAAGTTGAAGAGTGACAGATAAATGTGTTGGACAGAAGCCAGAGAGGAGCCTTGTTCTCAGCGTGTGATGCTAATAATAGTTAGCCTGCTCACATGCTTATATTTATACTTTATATTTTTATTTATAAAGTTCTGTGTCCTGAGATGAAAATGGACCGACCGTAACGAGGGATGTCCAGCTGTCCCAGTCAGAGTTCAGAGGTTGTTCCAGTTTATGTTTCTGGCTCAGATCTTAGAAAGTCCACCTTGTGACAAGAAGCAGCCAGCCTTGTTTCTTTGCACGAGTCCACCGTGACCCCTTCCCTTCCTCATCACATTGTTGACATCATCAAAACTAAGACGTGGAATAAACGGAGACGTTTCCAGAAGCAGTAAATGATTCAAACTCCATAAAGAGCTCCTTGTTTGCTTTAACACAAGATGTCTGTACAAGAAACAGAGGCGGTGCTGTCTGGGTGCTGCAGCTTCTTCATGAGACGAAGAGCTTCACATAAAATGTGTTTCTTTAAATTCACATTTTCTTTAATGTGGGAGGAGTTTATTTCATTGAGTTCCTAAAGAAGGACAGAAGAGTGTCTGCTCCAAGTCAACTTTTCCTTGTGCCTCCCCTCCTTCCAGCGCTCGCTGCTTTCTCTCCCACATTGTGACGGTGAGTCAGACTCTCCCTGTAGCCTCAGAATAGAAAGCAGCTTTAAGCCCCCCCCCCCCCCCCCCAATTAAATCAACAGGCTGCCAGTGAAATTATCTGAAGTCACACACACCGTAACAAATGACCAAAGTGTTCTGCTTCACTGGTTTCAACTTCTTTTACTTACGTCCACAGACTGAACAGGTTAGTCTGACTGGACCTGCTGCAATAATCCCCCCCCCCCCCCCCCCC